ATGTATGCAATGTTGTGTACCAGACCTGATGTGTGCCTTGCTATAAGTTTAGCGGGGAGGTACCAAAGTAATCCAGGAGTGGATCACTGGACAGCGGTCAAGAACATCCTGAAATACCTGAAAAGGACTAAGGATATGTTTCTCGTATATGGAGGTGACAAAGAGCTCGTCGTAAACGGTTACGTTGATGCAAGCTTTGACATTGATCCGGACGATTCTAAATCGCAAACCGGATACGTGTTTACATTAAACGGTGGAGCTGTCAGTTGGTGCAGTTCTAAACAAAGCGTCGTGGCGGGATCTACATGTGAAGCGGAGTACATAGCTGCTTCGGAAGCAGCAAACGAAGGAGTCTGGATGAATGAGTTCATATCCGATCTAGGTGTCATACCTAGTGCATCGGGTCTAATAAAAATCTTTTGTGACAATACTGGTGCAATTGCCTTGGCAAAGGAATCCAGATTTCACAAGAGGACCAAACACATCAAGAGACGCTTCAATTCCATCCGGGATCTAGTCCAGGTGGGAGACATAGAGATTTGCAAGATACATACGGAGCTGAATGTAGCAGACCCATTGACTAAGCCTCTTCCACGAGCAAAACATGATCAGCACCAAAGCTCCATGGGTGTTAGAATCATTACTGTGTAATCTAGATTATTTACTCTAGTGCAAGTGGGAGACTGAAGGAAATATGCCCTAGAGGCAATAATAAAGTTATTATTTATTTCCTTATATCATGATAAAGGTTTATTATTCATGCTAGAATTGTATTAACCGGAAACATAATACATGTGTGAATACATAGACAAACAGAGTGTCACTAGTATGCCTCTACTTGACTAGCTCGTTAATCAAAGATGGTTATGTTTCCTAACCATGGACAAAGAGTTGTCATTTGATTAACGGGATCACATCATTAGTTGAATGATCTGATTGACATGACCCATTCCATTAGCTTAGCACCCGATCGTTTAGTATGTTGCTATTGCTTTCTTCATGACTTATACATGTTCCTATGACTATGAGATTATGTAACTCCCGTGTGCCGGAGGAACACTTTGTGTGCTACCAAACGTCACAACGTAACTGGGTGATTATAAAGGTGCTCTACAGGTGTCTCCAAAGGTACATGTTGGGTTGACGTATTTCGAGATTAGGATTTGTCACTCCGATCGTCGAAGAGGTATCTCTGGGCCCTCTCGGTAATGCACATCACTTAAGCCTTGCAAGAAATGCAACTAATGAGTTAGTTGCGAGATGATGTATTACGGAACGAGTAAAGAGACTTGCCGGTAATGAGATTGAACTAGGTATTGGATACCGACGATCGAATCTCGGGCAAGTAACATACCGATGACAAAGGGAACAACGTATGTTGTTATGCGGTCTGACCGATAAAGATCTTCGTAGAATATGTAGGAGCCAATATGGGCATCCAGGTCCCGCTATTGGTTATTGACCGAAGACGTGTCTCGGTCATGTCTACATTGTTCTCGAACCCGTAGGGTCCGCACGCTTAAGGTTTCGATGACAGTTACATTATGAGTTTATACGTTTTGATGTACCGAAGGATGTTCGGAGTCCCGGATGTGATCACGGACATGACGAGGAGTCTCGAAATGGTCGAGACATAAAGATTGATATATTGGAAGCCTATGTTTGGATATCGGAAGTGTTCCGGGTGAAATCGGGATTTTACCGGAGTACCGGGAGGTTACCGGAATCCCCCGGGAGCTATATGGGCCTTAGTGGGCCTTAGTAGAAAAGAGAAGGGGCAGCCCAAGATGGGCCGCGCGCCCGTCCCCTCCCTTGGTCCGAATAGGACAAGGAGAGGGGGCCGGCCCCCCTCTCTCTTTTCCCCCCTCCGCGAATCCTATTCCAACTAGGATTGGGGGGGGGGGATCCTACTCCCAGAGGGAGTAGGAGTCCTCCTGGCGCGCCTCTCCTAGGCCGGCCGCACCCCCCCTTGATCCTTTATATACGGAGGCAGGGGAACCCTAGAGACACACAAGTTGATCCACGTGATCTTATTCTTAGCCGTGTGCGGCGCCCCCTGCCACCATAGTCCTCGATAATATTGTAGCGGTGCTTAGGCGAAGCCCTGCGACAGTAGTACATCAAGATCATCACCACGCCGTCGTGCTGACGAAACTCTTCCCCGACACTTTGCTGGATTGAAGTCCGGGGATCGTCATCGAGCTGAACGTGTGCTAAAACTCGGAGGTGCCGTAGTTTCGGTGCTTGATCGGTCGGGTCGTGAAGACGTACGACTACATCAACCAAACGCTTCCGTTGTCGATCTACAAGGGTACGTTGTTCACACTCTCCCCTCGTTGCTATGCATCACCATGATCTTGTGTGTGCGTAGGAAAATTTTGAAATTACTACGTTCCCCAACAGGTACGTAGGCAGTAGCTAGATGGCTTCTTCTCTCTTTTTGATTCTCAATACAATGTTCTCCTTGATGTTCTTGGACATCTATTTGATGTAATGACTTTTTGCGGTGTGTTTGTTGGGATCCGATGAAGTTCGATTTTATGAGCAGATCTATCCATGACTATTATTTGAATTTTCTTTGATCTTTTATATGCATGATTGTTATAACCTTGTATTTCTTCTCCGAATCTTTGATCTAGTTAGACCAACTAGATTGATTTTTCTTGCAATGGAAAGAGGTGCTTTATGATGGGTTCGATCTTGCGGTGTCCTCACCAGTGACATAAGGGGTAGCGAGGCACGCATGTATCGTTGCTATTAAGGACAAAAAGATGGGGTCTAATCCTACATCAATAGATCTTGTCCATCATGTCATTGTTCTTATTGTATTACTATGTTTCTCCATGAACTTAATACACTAAATGCATGCTGGATAACGGTCGATGTGTGGAGTAATAGTAGTAGATGCAGGCAGTAATCGATCTACTAATTTTGGACATGATCCCTATATACATGATCATTGTCTTGGGTATCGTCATAATTATGTGTTCTTCTATCAATTGCCCAACAGTAATTTGTTTACCCACCGTATGCTATTTTCTCGAAAGAAGCCACTAGTGAAATCTACGGCCCCTGGGTCTATCTTTTATCATATTGTTTTCAGATCTATTATTCCAAAACCCCAAAAATACCTTCTTACAATTTTTCTTTACTTATTTTATTTCATGTTTTTGCAAGATCTATTTATACAATCTACCACAATTTTATCTATCTTTTTACCGTAGAGGGATTGGCAACCCCTCTTCCGCGCTGGGTTGCAAGTATTTGTTCTTTGTGTGTAGGTACCGCTTACATAGTGTTGTTTGGTTCTTCTACTGGATTGATAACCTTGATTTCATAACCGAGTGAAATACTTACCGTCGCTGTGCTGCATCATCCCTTTCTCTTTGGGGAATTACCGACACAGTCTAGCCATGTCACACATGCACATGCACCTACTGCAAACATGCACATACATGAGCCCCCTTGTATGATGTCTTCATTAGAATTTGTCCCTTGTATGCACGTACATTAGCTCCTCTTACTTGGCTTGACCACATGGATTGACTTCTAGGAAAATCTTCAGTATAATCTCGCCTTTTAATACGTACTGTGTATGTGCTTTCAATAATTCTGCATAAAGCACAAAAATATGTAGTATATTTGTTTCCAATAGTAAAACAAATACTTGAATAATTAGTTAATTACTGCTATAAATCACCTAAGAAATATGCCGTATAATATTTGTATATGTATATATGGTGGTTATGTCCACATCACAACCATAGAATGGTTGGCTATGAATGCACTTTGGTTGTAATGCACCAAGGATGGGATAATGGGGGTGACTTGGTTTTCATGATTTTTCAGACGATCTTCCCCACACTATGAACCAGACTTATTGGCGGGAAATCACGGATGTCCACAGCGCCAAGCTTCTTTGGCAGATGATAAAAATCTTCAATACAAAAGTAACTACTAGAATAATCTTGGGAGGTACAAAGAGAAATCTACTATGATTAAAAGTGGCATGTAAAAACTTGCAAGCAAGTACGCTGGCAACTGGAAAAAAAACAAATGATAGGTGTCACACGTGTGGCACGAAGCACTCCGGTCACTTTTTTACAACTAAAGTTGCCATCCGGAAAGGAAAAATAAACCCAAAAAAACTGAAACTTGTCATCTGATTTTTTTTGCCATGCTTGACAATTGAAGTTGCCATTCTCGCGTCAATAAACTTGCCATAGAAGATATTTGGAGTTGCCATGTGTTTGTGCCACACGTATGACATTTATCAGGGCTAAAAAAAGACACGATACGGAGAATATTTTTACATCGGTCCATGAGTTTTGGCTAAGAGGCCCAATAAATTGGGAGAAAGGGAGTAGTAGACGCAATACGTATAGTACGAGCCGCTGCCTTCTCCTCCTCCTCCTCCTCCACAAAAAAGTTAGGGCTTCTGCCTCCCGCTGGCGCCGCCGCAGGTCCGCCTTCTCTCCGGTGGCTCTAGCTAGGGCCATGGGGGCGTGGTGGATCTCGGCAAGGGCCGGCGGGAGGGCTTCGTTTTTAGTTCAATATTGCTAGGGTTTGTGTCCTGCTTAGGATGACGAGGCAACGGCGGCTCCCTAAAGATGGAATAAAGGTCTCCCCGCCTAGGCCCCGTTCTGGCGGTGCGCCTAGCATCGTTGGTGGGCGTGTGGAGCACGGTGACTTTTCGACTGTCTACTATAACAAGTTGTGCCCGACTCCGGCGATGGAGGGGTGATGATGGCGGCGCGCCTTCGGCTTGCTTCAGTGCTGATAGTCATCGCTAGGTGGTCTACGGATCTGGATGTAATTTCTATTATTTCTGGTATTCGTTGTACTGCCACGATTAAAAATGAATAGATCGGAAATTTTCTCGCAAAAAAAATACATATAGTACGACCAGGCACGCTCTCGAGCAGCTGCCGTTAGTTGCATATAGATCCAGCTACTGTGAGGTGACACGACATCGAGCCGAGTGACACAGCTCGAGGCCGTCAGTTCTTCTCGGTGAAACGATACGACGCATACGAGTGGTTGGTGTTGGTCCAGCTACGGTGGATCAGCTCCGCCTTGGACTCGTCCCCCGCGGCGCCGAGTGCGACGTGCAGCGGATGAAAATGTTCCGGTGATGGGTGCGCCACCTTGCCGTAGGGCGCCCTCTCATCGTAGCAGTTCACGTCGTCGTACCTGGCCATGCCAAGCCAAGACCGCTCAATGGAGAAACAAGAATCGGCACCAGCATGAATGCATGCATGATCGATCAAGATTAGATGATTGGATTGGCAACCATGGATGCCCGTTGTGAAGCAGAACCCTCCCGAAGCTCATCGTCACCATTTTAAATTACCTTCCACCCATGAGCGAATCCTCAAGCCAGGTGTCGAAGTCGGAGGCCCATCGCGGCACCGGCGCCTCGTAAAGTGTCATTTTGCTCAGGTTGTGCGTCGCGCTCCCGGAGCCGAGGACGAGGACGCCGTCCGCTCTGAGGGGAGCCAGCGCCTTGCCGAGGTTGTAATGGTAGGTGCCGTCGCGGCCGGCATGAACCGAGAGCTGGCACACCGGGATGTCAGCCTCCGGGTACATCAGCATCAGCGGCACCCATGCACCGTGGTCGAGCCCACGGCCGTGGTGTTCCTCCACGGGACCGAACCCGGCTTGTTCGAGGAGCTCTTTGGTCCTCATGGCCAGATCGGGGGCGCCAGGAGCAGGGTACTTCAGCTGGATCATTCAAAATATAGTTAACAGCAAACAAAATTACACTGCAGTGCAAACACCACGGTAGGTATGCATCTTCTCTACTACCGACAGAACAAAAATACAATCCTAAACAGTTCATGTATTATTTGCTTCTTTTCGTATGACTACAAGTATCTAATGTAGGGGGGGAGGGGAGGGGGGTGTCTGGGGATCATTAACTTGGATTTAATGAACAGAGCCCTCTTAGTAAAGTGGTTGTGGAAACTGGAAAATGAATCTGGAACTTGGGTAAACATTCTGAAGTCTAAATATATTCAAAATAAATGTCTGTCTGGGCTGGAAAAAAAGCCAGGCGACTCTCAATTCTGGTGTAGTTTGATGGAGGTCAAAAAACTCTATTTTCAACATGTTACAAAAAAGATTGGAGATGAGAATGCAATCAGATTTTGGGAGGATTGGTGGGTTGGATCTAGACCTCTGAAGGATATGTATCCTAGGCTATATAATATCAGCTTTGACCACAATATCTCAATGGCAGAAGCTGTGAATAAGGGGTGGCAGGGATTTAGCTTCAGGAGAGATCTTAATGCTGAGACGAGTGAACTCTGGAACAGTCTAAAACAAAGATGTGAGGTGGTTAGGATGCATGGGGGAGCTGATCAGCCCATGTGGATGCTAACAAAAAATAGGAAGTTTTCAGTAAAATCATTGTATTCCTTTCTGATTAATGATGGGGTGGGATTTCCACACAAGTTCTTGTGGAAAACAAAAATTCCATCCAAAATTAAAATGTTTCTTTGGCCGGTGACTAGGAGGAGTATATTAACAAAAGATAATTTGCTGAGAAAAGGGTGGAAAGGGGCAAAAGAATGTGTGTATTGTGGAAAGACAGAAACTATTGATCATCTATTTTTTGATTGCTCTGCAGCCAGATTGGTCTGGACTTTAATCAAATGTGCTTTTGATCTTAGGCGAAATCCCA